TCTTGCTTGATAAAATTACAAGTAACTGAAATTTATGACCATTGTTATTTCACTCCAGACATAATGCAAAACCATGTTTACAGGAGAACTGATATATTAGGAAAAACTTTGAATTTGGGAAAGCTTAACTGGTTGGGGGATACTACAAACAGGATGTAAGACAGATACGAATCATGTTTCTTCCAGAAATTCAAAGAATTAAGATACCTTCTTATTCGTGTAATGAACGCAGATTTCTTCAGTCACACTGAAATTCCACTGAGATTACTTTGCCATAGTTTCAACCTCTGTTTTTCAATGCTATTTGGAATAGCATATTTTGAGTAAGACTGAATCTGTTCTTTCTTTCTGTCTTTGTTTTTTCTGAGAATAAGTATTTTTTTATTCTCAAATTTTCAGCCATGATGGAAGTAACAAATATGAAAACAGTGCAAAATACACTTCTCAGAAGCAGTAGGCTCAAAAGAATGATGAACTAAACTCCTTGACTATAACTTCCAACTGTATGTGATTGTCCATACCTAATCACAAACGCTAATCCATTTCTGACTGCTTTAAGGGAGTCCTGGAGCGTCGTCTTTCTGTTGCTTTCGAAAGAGAACACTATTTTCAGTGTTGCTGTGTTTAAGCATGGCAGTTCCAACACCTTAAATTTTCTGTTTGTACTTGGAGATATTTTGAGACATTGGTTTCAATTGTCAGCATTGGTGCTAGGACCTGAAAACAAGTAGACTTTGCAAGAAGGTTTGAGTTCTAAGTGCAATATGAAAAGGAGGAAGCTGCCATCTTAGTGTACTGGTGTAAGAGTAAATTATAAACTCTTACAAGTAGTTAGTATCTTGGGAAGTCAGAGCTTTTAAGTTGTGTTCTTTCTCAACTTTTAAAATCACCATGCTATTTATCTATAAAATAAAAACTTTTCAATGTTTATAAACACAAGTCTATTAATGCAGATATTTATCAATAGCTTTTCATTTTTGTTGTTTGCTTTTGGTTTAGTGGGTTTTTTTTTTTTTGCATGTTTAGTGCCAGCCAGCAGTGCTAGCCATCAGTTGCTGTAGCCTGTGCTCATGTCCTTCCCTCAGTGTGCATGTTCAGTTCATCTTTTGTTTTCCTCTTATGCTCTGTGCCCTAATTACTTGTTTGTAGCCTGTAATTTTGGGGCTTGCTGGATTAAACTGAATCCCCTTGCTTCTTTACTTTTGTGTAAGACAGATACCTCTGGCTGGACTGTTTTTAACTTGATGTTGTAGTTTTAAACTCAATAATTACATTGTGTGCAGATAGAATTATTTGAAGAGTCAAGAGCATAAGAGGAAGCGTCAAAAATAGAAAATGATAGGAAGAACTGCCTCATTTTCTGTCATGCAAGCATGTGACCCTTGGCAAATAAACTAGCAGGCCTGGTGGGATGACCCAAGTCTGGATGGGGAGCATGTGCTGGGCATGGTGGGGACTTGCAAAACCAAGGCCCGTGTTCGTAGACTTTTCCATCAGAAGCCTAGTTTTGGATTTACAGCTGTTGACAGGCATGTGCTTTGCAACTAACTGTAGAAAAACACACGGTCTAATTCAAGCAAATGCTGTGTGTGTATAAGGATTTGAGCTTGAAGTGGAAAGCAGCAGTGGAGAACTATTAACATAGTGTATACAAATACTCGACAATGGGAGCAGAAGACCTAAGTTACCTCTGCTGGTGCTTCCAGCATTTTTGGCAACAGGGGAACATCAACAGGTGAAATCTTACCCACAGGGTAAATAAAAGGAGAGACTAAAAATTAATGATAAATTGGTTTTTACTGTAGTATTTTTAAAAAAATAAGTAGTGAAATAACTTTCAGCTTGATTATTCTGAAAATTTATAGGTATTGTCAAGGCTGATTATCTGAGTCGCCAAAGACCTGCCTGTAACAGAAAATGACATCTACAAACTTCTGGGATAATCAAGCTTGAAGTTTTGCAATGTTCTGAGCTTTCATGTTCTGCCAACAAAGTGAGTAGCTGTAACACAAGGGTGATTAATGATCATCTGTATGCCAGTTACCCTGGATTTCTTTGTATTCATTTGTGTCACAAGATAAAGCATTGTCAGACTTCCAGAACATTACTCGAGCAGTCTCAGTGTTAGTTTCTTTAGCTGCTTGACTGTCACCTGACAGTCCCTTCCCATCTCAGGAATGTGCCACATATTTGTAGGTGCTACTGAGCCTGTCCTCCACTTCTGCCATGGGGGAGCAGTCCAGTGAAGAACATAACAAGGCTGCAGCCCTTCACACTTGGACAAAAGTTAAATTCCAATAAAAAGTGTTCTTTATGACATGCTTCTTCCAGCAGCAAAGTAGGACTGCAAAAAAAGACTTATCCCTGGAACAAAACGTTTCAGTTGGTGCAGAATACATATTAACTCTCCTTATTTTCTCTTGCCTGGTCCATCCATTGTTCTCTTAAAAGGATACTCTCTAGTTTCTCTTACTATTTTTTTTTAAATCCTACTTTTTATGTCACAGTCTTTGATGACATCCACTTTTCTACAAATGACCTAATGCACAAAAGCAGTTTAATAATTTTATAATGGAGTTAAATTTTAAGAACTGACTTATCTTAGCTGTCCTTAAAGATACCCCTATGGTGCAGTTTTCTTCTGGGAAGAAAGAACATGCTACAGCCATAAGAAGGTACTTCTGCTCAACTTGGTCCTCAAGGCCCATGTCTGGTCCATTTGACTAGTGTGTGTGCCCAGAACCACTGCTCAGGTGTTCACACTGCTGAGTGCTAACCTAGTCACCACAAATTAAGCCCCATGATGTCCCAGCTGCCAGACTACTGGGTATTTTATCAGAAAATATGATACTCATAATAGCTTGTGTATAAATTACTTCCTAAGGTAGAGTGAATGGGAATTAAATGGGCTGCCATGGGTGAATGGCATTCAAATCCTTTAATGGAAATGATGACTGCAGATCTCTCTCCTGGGAGCTAGAAAAGGTACTGCACTTTCAGACAATGCCCCAGTTGCTGGGCATAATGGGATTGCCTCCTCTCCCTCACAGAACCATGAGTGCCTTGCATACTTGAGACTTAAAGTGTTTTTTTTAACACAGAACACTGCAACCTGTTAAGCTCCTTCATTAATTTAGCCTCAAAGTTGTTTGAACCAGCAAATTCAGTATTTCAAAACAGTTAAAACAGAGGATGTCATATAATCCCAGTCTTTGTGAAGGAGACATGCTTTGACATTTGTGTTGTAATGTTTTGTAACTAGGAACTAGTTGATTCTCATCTAAATACTACTATGAATTTAGTATCACATCAGCTCTTTTAATTCCATAAAACATACCAGCATTCTCCCCTTTAGTTTAGTGAGGAAATCCAGTAAGCCTCCTTAGGCCAGTAAAATGAAATTCTATTAGTAAGACATACAAACTGCACTGACCAGTGCAGATATGGTGAACTGAGCTTGTTCTGTGCCCACTTGAAGGTTGCTTAGATACAAAAGCACTCCATCTCTCTGAGGTGAAGAACACAGCATCTTTTTTTCCATTGAGGCTTACCTCCTCTGCTTAAAATTCAGGGCCACAGATGACTTAGGGGCTCCCCAGATGGGGTTCAGAAGACAGCTGTAGGGGATTGGGAGGGTAGGGAATGACATCACACGAAAGCTTCCTGTGCCTTGTAACCCCTTGCAGCAACTCTCAGAAAAATGAAGTCTGTTGAGTTAGGGCACTTTTGCCACAAGCAAGCGTACAACTTAGAATTGCATAAGGTCCCCTGAAGCTCCAGTGCTCTTGACATTTGAAAGTTTTCATAGCTACAGTAAGGACTAGCAAGGATTCTTTAAAGGCAGAAATTTGAGTGCTAGTGTTTGACTCAATGCTCACTGGTATTTTCTGGAGCTCGGGTGAAGCATATTCCTGTGTCCAGGCTGACAGAAAAAAAAGAAGTACCCCATTACTGGAATGTTACCTGCACTTACTCCTGTGCTAAGTTAGGGTCTGTTGCTTTAGACCAAAAGTTTTCAGTCCATGACATGCCAATGGACTGTTGACACAGTTTCTAGGTAGAGGCCACAGATTCTTGCCTAATGTTAAATGTTGCTATTCAGCCATCATGCAGTTTATACCATTTTTGAAGGGTTTGTCTGGAGGAAAAGGGAAAACACTGGTTTCAGATGTAGGTGTACAACAAGCTTCCAAAGCTGCAGAATAAAGCTCACAGATGTCATCACTTTAAGAGAGATCATGTGAAAGAGCTCTTCTGATACATTAATCAGATTATTTCTTTGTACAAAGTGTTGCCTTTGTCATTTTGATAGGACACTTCCTGCAATAAATTATCTACCCTAGAGCACTTTAAACATTTTATCACTTTATGATATTACTGCTGGACAAGAGATCAGAGTAAGTTTAATTTTCTCTCACCCTCAACAAATAAACCTCCTTAGCCTTCTGAGTTGGTCTTTTCAGTTATGCCTCCATCCCATCTGCCAACAGAGTATTTTAGAGTATCTGAGTACATAGAAGTCAAGGATACATTTACTGGATCTATATCTGACTCCTCCCTGCATTTCAAACGAACGTAGACAATTTTGTCCTCATAAAAGTTCATTTATTTCCACACTTTGTCCTATGTATGTAAGTCTCAAGATTTGCTTCGTATATAAAACAAACTGTGTCAGGAGAACACAAGACAATGAAATTAACCCCCCAAAATGCTGTTCACACCATTTAGGCAGTTAAATTCTGCTAGAGAACACTCTTAGGCTCTATGAAGTGACTATGAAGAGTTTTATAACTGTTCACAGAGGCATTCTTGATTGATAGATTACTAAACCTTGTAGACAATAGGCAAAAATAATCTTCCACTGTAGGATTGTATAGGAGCGGGCACAGTTCTACATGCTTGTTAATTTTGATACTTACAGTATCAGGCCTTATACTAATTTTTCTTCATACAAACACAAGCTGTCTTGTACTTTTAAAGATCGTATTTGAAAAAGTAACTCTTTTTAGGTTTTATTGCTTTATTTTAAACGTTGTGTCACATGAAGAAATACTGTGACTCGGAATAAGTTATTAAAAAACATACCAATCAGAAGATTTGTGAGAAAACTTTTATACTTGTCAACTAGTTAACCAAAAAACTGGCGTCAGCATCACACTGGCACCCCGTAAGCAACACGCTGCTCACACACAGGCGCATCCTTTCGGAAAGGCTTCCGTATTAAAACGGTGTCGGGATGGACATTCCGCATTTAAACAGGAGCAGCAGCGCGGCAGGAGCCGGCCCGTGCAGCGGGCCCGGGACACTTACAGTCGGTACAGCCGAACGGGACTGTCTAGGCGCACACCCGGCCTCCAGCGCCGCCCTCACGGCTGCTGCACCTTCGTCCGTTTCAGGGGAGGGTCATCGGCGCTCGCCGCCGCGTCCACGTTGTTTTCGTCTTCGCCTTCATCCTCCTCGTCGTCATCGTAGTCGTCGTCATCCCCGCCACCACCTGCCAGAGTTCGAGCGGGTGCGGATGAACGGTGCGGGGCGCGGGTGGCGCCCCGGGGCCGGCGGAACTCCCTCGGCGCGCCCCCCCTCGCCACTCACCGCGCCGCGCGCCGTCCGCCGCCGCCCGCTCCTCCTGCACCAGCGGCGCCAGCAGCTCCACCACCCGCTCCTGCAGCTCGCTCAGGGCCCCCCGGAGCCCGCGCAGCTGGGCGGCCTCGCCCTCCTCCGCCGCCGGGTACGGCACCCGCACCGTCCGTGTCCGCCCGTCGCGGCCCCGCAGCTCCGCCACCAGATCCCGCCCCAGGCCCGCATCCGCCTCCGCCGCCAGGTCGGCCATCACCGCCCGCCGGTCACGTGCTGGCCGCGCGGGCCGCCCCGCCCCTCAGTGACACACCGCCCACGGTCACGTGGGGCGCGCGCGATTCCGCTTCCGCCGTGGCGCCCCCTGGCGCCTCCTTGGCCCCGTGTTTCCCGCCTCGCTTCGCGCTCCTCGGCCTTCGCGGCCCGGCGATGGAGGCGGCGGCTCCGGAGGGTGCCGAGCCGGGGAGCGGCGGGAGCGGCGCGGAGGAACCCGTGGTGTCCCTGGCGGAGGTGCTGGCGGAGAACGAGGAACTGGAGAAGGAAGCGCGGGCCGTGCTGGGGGGCAGCGACCACGAGCGCTGCAGTTACTCACAGGTGGGGGCGGGGCCGAGGGGCCCGGGGGCGGGACCCGGGGGGCGGGGTCTGGAGGGCGGGGCCCGGAGTGGGGCGGGGCCCGGGGGCGTGATCGGGGGCCGGGCGGGGCTGCCCCCCTGCCCCCGGCGCCCCTCATACCGCGGCCGGTCGGTGTCTCCGCAGGGCGCGGTGAAGCGGCAGGCGCTCTACGCCTGCAGCACCTGCACGCCGCCCGGCGCCGAGCCGGCGGGGATCTGCCTGGCCTGCAGCTACGAGTGCCACGGCACCCACCGCCTCTTCGAGCTCTACACCAAGAGGTACGGGCGAGGGGCCGGGAGCGGCCGTGTAGCACCCTCAGCACCCGTGGCTCCCGATAAGCTGCTGGGAATTGTTAAGAATGCAAACCCCAGCGTGTTCTCACTTAATATAAACCCTGAAATGCTACATTTTTCTTTCCAGGAATTTCCGCTGTGACTGTGGAAATAGCAAGTTCAAAAATCTGCAGTGCAAGTTACTCCCGGTGAGTTCAGGCAGGTTTCAGGCATTCGGAGTCAAAATAACAGTCTTGGGAGCTTGGTGCCTTGCCTCAGCCAGTGCTGACTCATGCGACGCCTTCAGTCTTCCCAGGAAGTTAAAAAATATAGGAATATTATGGCAAGGTATAAAACTGTTGAGGGACCAAAGGCAAATGTTGGAGAAGGAACATTTGGTCCTTGTCATCCATGAGTGCAGCAGTTCTGCATCCATGGTCAGCACACTTCCAGAAGCAGGTTGTGGTGTTTCTGCACAAATACATCTCACTAGCTTTAAGCTGTTCCAGAATAATCTTTTGGGGTGCAATTTTGCAGCTGGATTAAGAAAATTTAGGTCTGTGCTGCTGTCAGAGGGACAGTTCAGTTTCCTTCTTTGTGGTGACATTACTGCCCTAATATTTTGTCATCGGAGCCTACTGATGGGGTGTTTTTTTACTGTATTAAGCTGCCTATACTTTTATACTTAGTGAGCATTTTGAACTTGTCAAGTAGCTGGCAATCTTCTGGGAAGCAGCAACAGGATGCTGCTTGGCTTGCTTGCAGTGGTGCTCCCAGGATAACAGTCCAAACATCGAAACAGACAATAGTTTTGTGTATGCCTGTTTTATTCTGAGAGAATTGAAATGGATCTACAGCTAGTCAGCAAAGTCATGGTGCAGTGATCCCTACAGAGACACTTCTGACAATTTTAAGATGCTACTATTTCTCATTTGAGTCAGTGAATTGGATCACGTGGTTGTTCCTTCTGCTTCAGTGAAAATTCAATTGTACAGGTTAAGTGAGCTTCAGCATCTGTCCACTAATCTGTCTGACACCACAGTTGCAATTTGTTGCAAAGGTGAGCAGGCTGTTATCTCTCTTTGCTTTTGAACTTTATCATTTCTCATGTGCCCTATCTGCTGCTGAGTATAAAGCAGAAGTGACTGGAGAATATCTTCCTTTTTGTATATTCAGACTGATGAAAATAATGAAGCTTTTAGGAATCAAGGGAAAACAGAAACTGTGTTTTTACTGTGTTGTCTATTGAGACTTTTTCCCTTTTGTCCTAGGAAAAGAGCAAGGTGAATTCAGGAAATAAATATAATGACAATTTCTATGGATTATACTGTACATGTAAAAGACCTTACCCTGATCCTGAAGATGAGGTAAGAAATACAAAATCCAGTAGTAATCATACATAGATGGTGTTTATGTTAGACACTGTGTAAAGGGTGGTCACTGAGCTGTTTTTCAAGGAAGATCCCACTTCAAGAAATCTTATGTTCCATATTGGTTGTCACGTGTTGTATGAAGGAATTACTTGATATTTTTTTTTTTTAATGGTAAAGGATGTTTATGCCTTAGAAACAGATGAGGAGGACAAGTCATGATTTGGACAAAATAGTGCTGCAGTTCCCTGAGGTTGCAGAGTTCCCCTCGGGGACAGGGTAATCATCATCTTGAGAAATGTGAATAGTGCAGAATAAACACATTGCACATGTTAGGAGAGACCAGCACCTGCTTCCCCATGCCTGCAGCAATGCTCTGGCAAGGCTTCTGGGATGGAGAGAGTCTGTCCTGTCCCATAGCACTAGCTACAGTCCTTGATAGTAGCCAGAACACTTTTTTATCTCTCTGAAATACTAAAACACGGCATTGGCTTTGCATGTTCATGCTGTTGTTTGCAGTCACAGAAAACAGGTGTTTTAAAGAACAGGGAAGGCACAAGTCTTTCAAATACAAAAAAAAAGCATTTTATAAGCTCCCCTCTGAAGTTCAGAGACAGCTAAAAACATTTCTGAAGAAATCATTGATAGTTGTTTTGTAACAAAGCACTTCATACTGTCCTGTATGGTGATTAGTTAGGTTCGGTTCTGGCAGGTTTCACAGACCTGATGACAATGTGAATATCAGTATCTTTCTTCTGACAGCTGAGCTGTCTGTTCATGCACTTCTGTTTATAGGAAGAAGGATACCAGTAGTGTATTAACTTCTATTAGCTTTCTGTAAGAAAGTCTTGCCCTGCTGGGAGGACTGATTTTTTAGTAATAAAGTGGATTTCCACAGCCTCAGTCGTATGAGAGATGACATGTGCTGTTGAACCTGAGGGCAAACTGACTAACAAAGCACAAACTGCTTATTAATGGCAGGTGCCTGTGAGGGGTGAAGAGGGTTACTGCAGTTTGAAACTTGTGAAAGATTCTGGAGGTTGCTATTAATGCTAATAATATGATTATTTGTCTAGATTCCAGATGAGATGATTCAATGCATAGTTTGTGAAGACTGGTTCCATGGAAGGGTAAGGAAACTATAAACAGCAGAACTGCCATTTGCACAGGAACAAATTGGTATTGGTTAGGTTTGTATGGTAATTCTTACTTGGGAAGTTTGCTGTAGTTCTCAAAAGAGATTATTAAATGAGTTCCAAGGCATTTGTTTTCAGCTTATGCAAAGGAGCATTAAAAGTCTGATCTTGCACTGCTGTCCACTCCAGTTAAAACATAATGGGAAGAGTCCTACCTTTTTGAAGGTTACCACTGCAGAATAAAGTAATAACTTGATAACTGTCTCTTTAATTAGAAAACTCAAATCAATGTAGTTGGTGAGGAAAAGATTCTTACTGAGGCACATCATTATCAACTACCTGAATAGTTCTTCATTCAAATGCCTTTTAAGCTCTGAATTCCTTTAAGTAGCAAGGAACAGACTGTGCTATTTATTATTGATTTCAAACTTTGGGGAAGCCTTTTGAAAGCAGCCAAGCACTGTAGTGAGTGCCCTACTTAATGGGTAAGCATTAAGGATTCAGCCTCTTGTGCCTTGAAGGGCACAAGTGAAATTCCGTGTTTGAAGTTGCAGGATCAAAGAGTAAAAAAAAAGATTATTTGCTTCAATTATGGGTTCTTGTAGATAAACTTCTTTCGTATTAAGTGCAGTAATGAAGAGTGTTGTACTGCATACTATGAGCTTTGCAGGAATGTTTTTCAGAAGAAAGCCACTAAGTGCTCTTAATTGCCCAGATAGTTTTCATCAATTTATGGACAATTTCAGTGTATGATCAATACAGATCCTTCACTACTGTGTGCTTGCTTCTTCTTGACAGCATCTCGGTGCAGTTCCCCCTGAAAGTGGAGACTTCCATGAAATGGTGTGCCAGGCCTGCATGAAACGTTGCCATTTCCTATGGGCTTATGCATCGCAATTAGCAGGTAAAGAAAGTTAAGAGATCTGAGCCAGTGTTTTGTGAGGACGTATGTCTGATACTGGCTGTTAATGACATAAGACTGGTTTTAAGTGGTTGGAAAAATTATACTCATTATTTATACTGGACAATCACCTTCAGCAATGGAACATGTGGGGTGCCAGTAGCTAGTGTAAAAATACCAAGTTTCCATTCTTAAATCTTAATTCTGTGCTGCTTGCTTTTAGTTACTTTATCAAAGATGTCTAGCATAAAATGGATGAAGTTTTAATGCTTAACTCAAGGAACTTAATTTCTAAACTGGATCAAAGAACTGAAGAGTCATCCTAAGGGAAGCAGTGAGACAAACAGTTCTTACAGATGCTCTGAGCAGCAAAGAGTGTATGACAGAGTGACCTGGAATGAATATGTTCAATGTTAACCTGGGCAGGGGCTGGGGCTGTGCTCAGGACACACGTCCCCTATGGTCACACCAGGCCTCTCTCAGCTCCGTGGACTTAAAAGAACAGATGACTTGATATCTGTGGAAAGAGCTAGTTTCTCATAGTCTCCTAAAATTGCTGCTTGTATAAACTGCTGATAAATTTCTCGTGTGCCCAAAATTTCAATGATATTTTCAAGGATGGCTACCTGGAGCTCTTTTCCTTCTAATGTAAATTGTACAGAATGGGGCATTTGTCTGTTTTTGGTTTTCCTTTTTCTAACCAGCTTTGTTACAGGGCACATACTTAAACTGGCATCAAAACAGAAACTTGTTTTAAATAAACAAGAGATTAAATGTGCTAATCTGTGGTGGTGTTTTTGAGGTGTTCTTGGAGAAAAACTCTGATACAGTTAATAAAAAAGCATGTGGCACTTACTGAAACTGTGATAGCTAGCAAGGGGTTTCAGGAAGGACAAGTATCTTAGTAAAGAACTCTCAAATTGTGATACCCTGTTCCTTCTCCTAGGGCTTAGATTTTGGGAA